TAGCAGCTTCTCACAGAAGCCACCCCTGTAGCCCCCAGCTACAAAACCTTGCCACGCAAACCCAATAAATGCATTCAGCGTTGCAGTGCAAGATTCTCGTTTTGGTGATAAAGATTTGGCAAATCAAAATTATGCTGAAATGCTTTCCCAACTTCACAGTACTATGGAAACATCAACTGACCATTAAAATACCCATTTGTTGTGACCTTTTTCATATAAGGGAAAAACAAGACTGGGACACGAGGATGGGATTTGTCTGAGACATACTATGCTTTCTCCCCTAATACCTGGGTCTTAGGTACAGTGGCAGGATCTCTTGTAGTCAGTGGCAGAACTTCGTCTTGGGTGTTAAAAGCTACTTGTTGCCATTGCCCCTTTTGGCTTGTAGGCAATACTGCTCTGTTGAAAATTGCCACCAGGGTAGTTTCTGTTCAGGCTTCCCTCAGAAAAACTGCATGCTGAAACACTAGACTGGAAATAGATATGTTGGTGAAGGGACAGAGACAAGAATAAGGACTTACTAGTAACGTGATTTTTAGCTATTGTAGGGGGGGCAATGATGTGAATGGGTGGTTTCCCATGGTGCAGAACTTGAATAACTTTGATAGTCTCAAAAGGTGCTCTGACCTTGTTACAGCAGGGCATATGAATCACTGTCTCTCGTTTGTTTGTTTGTTTTTCCCCCTCCTCTTTTTTCTCTCTTTTTTTTTTCCTTTTTTTTTCCTTCTCCCTCTCCCAAGGATGAAATGCCTACACTTCCTTCCCAGGAGAAGCCAGATATGAACTCATGCCCTCATGCACCTGGCAAATATTTTCTCCCTGGTGGGATGGACAATGAGAACTGCAAGGCTAATGAGAAGGAAATGGATTGGATCCGCCCTGATACACCTAGCAAATGCACGTGGAAGCTTGGGAAACCCCCATCTGCCTCCCCCCATCGTCATACCACTCTGTAAGTATTATTTTTATTTCCTGATTTTTCAGTACAGCACTAATCCAGGTCCCCTCAGAGCCACGCGGATTTAACAAAAGATGACTGATTTAAATTGATGCTCTTTAGCATGTAGATATGCTGGTGCTTCTTAATTTCTGTGTGTAAGCAAAGCTAAGAATCCAGATTAAGCATACAAAGGGCCTTGCACCAAAGATGTGAAACTACATGGACTGGAACTAACTTATTTTAAGTAACCTGGCAAGCAGTTCCCTGGCTAGATGAAAGATCGTGTTGTTAATGCCTTTTGCTTGTAAAATAGCTGACTCTGAGCAGTGCTAAGCTACTTCATGCCAGGAGGAAGTGCAGAGCGCTTCATTCTTGCCTCAGCACTTGGCTTGATGTCTGATTAATCCTTGTTTTGGATCAAGGACTTCATGTTTTTTGAATTTGTATCCAATGGATATTCTTTTAAACTAAAATGCCTAAAATAACTAGCGTGGTAAAGGGGAGGGAGAAAGCTGGTTGAAATAAAAAGCATTGGAAATGCTGTGTTGCTTTTGTGCGACCCGCCTGTGGCCCCTTCTGTGAATACACTGACTTTTTTGTATGTGTACCAGGCCGGAGCCTCTGAAGATCCTGCCAAGCATCCTGAATAAAGTTGGCAATACACCCATGGTGCGAATCAACAAGATTGGGAAGCAGTATGGGCTCAAGTGTGAACTCTGTGAGTACTGCTGCAGGCAAAAAATCAAAATAAGAAACACTGTTTCAGAAACTTGGGTAGTCCTGGTTAGTAGTGTCATGTAACCTGGGCATAGGAGGAGTACAGGTACCCTGCAGAAAATGGTGAGAAAAATTCTGCTTTTTCTTTGGCAGATTTTCAAGTTTTTAGGATTTGGTCATCTAAAACATCTTTCAAGTTGTACTTCATGAGAACATTTCCTGCAGCTTTCCATTTTTATAGAAAAAGTAAAACCTTTTTCATAGAAAATAATTTTTTAATTTTAAAAAAGTTGTATGAAGCTTTTGACTGCTTCTCATATTCAGAGTCTTCATCAGTGTGTGTAAAATGCAGCTCTGCAGTTACCACTAAAGATCATTGAAAATGATGGAAGGGATGAAACTGTCAGTGAATGTTTTTTTGTTTTTGTTTTAAACCCAACCATATTGGAGATATCTGGAGGCTCTGATCAGAGTCCTGAAAGGTGGTGCTTAACACCATAGAAGGGATTAATGCTGGGAGTACTGAAGTGAAAGCGTAGGCTGAACAAGGGGAGAAACTTCCAGTTTGATCAGAAACTCTTTGGCTGAGAATGTAGCAGGGAAGAGGCAAGGCATGTGGGTAGCGTTCTCTTCCCCTGTGCTATTGCACTGGAAGAGCCCTGGGGCTTTTTATCCTAATAACTGGGCTGTAATAAAGAGGAAAGATGAAAGGAGAGGTCATATTTTGAGGAGACTGACAGAGTATGGGTTCCCGGCTTCTGTGACCAGCATCAAGTACTGAACTTGCTTTGTTGTTGTGACCCATAACAATGGAGATGCTGTCAACTGAATCCCCATCTCTGGTGTTGTAAAGTAGGGAGGTCAATTGGGCAGACATGTTAACAGAGTTGCTCTTGCAGATATGTTGGGGATCAGCAGCCTGTTTAGCAAATGACTGCTCTTTAAGAACTTTGCTTGGTTTCTTTGTTTCCAGTGGCAAAATGTGAGTTCTTCAATGCTGGGGGCAGCGTGAAGGATCGCATCAGCCTGAGGATGGTAGAGGATGCTGAAAAAGCTGGGATCTTGAAGCCTGGGGACACTATCATAGAGCCAACCTCTGGAAACACAGGTAGGGGATGGAGAGACCCTAGCAAAGCATGGGGGGAAAATGCTGTGGTGGTTTTCCTGGAAGAGACAGACTTGAGATTGGAGCATGGAGGCTGCCTGTGCAAGGAAGAAAGGGGATCCCTTCCTGCCTGCATGGTGTAGGGAGCAGTGCCTCTTCCATCTCGCACAAGGAACAATTCTGTAGTGTCCTGTGCTGACCGGAACAGCTGGGAAGGAGGTCTGCTAAATTTGCAGGGGCTCTTTGCTTTAAAAGAAAAAAAGCGTTAGGCCAGATTCACCAGGGTCTTTAGGTCCCGTTCAGGAATTAAAGTCTGACTGAAATTATTGGGGAAAAAAGCACCAAAAGACTGGTGTGAATCTGGATCTTCCTGTTCTATTTGGGAATTCCCATGGTCCCACTCTCAGGTGAGGTGGGCCTGGTTTGAGAAACAGCCTTTCCCACGTTGGTGCAGTTGGGATGGGAGATGAGCTGCATCCCCACAGCACTGCCTCCTGACATAGCCCTTGCACACCTAGGTTTTCAACAGATTCCACTTGAGTCAGCGTCTCCCCGTTGGAGGGCTGGAGGAAGGAAGAGTCCCACTAGTCAGGGGCCAGGGCAGAGCATCTGATGATCCGAGCAAACTGGACTTAACTCTGGGCTCCTGCATCAAAGCTGTTGTACTTCTGTTAAGCTGTTCCACTGGTGGGGAGTAAACATACCCGGAATACTCTCCCTTGAGCTAGTTAAATGTAAAATACACTGCCTCCTCTGAGGAGGTTCCTGAGCTGAGCTACAAGCTACTCTTCTGCCTGATGTGTTCTGGAGAGGTGTCCTGTCCTGTTCTCAAACTCTTTCCTGGCATCCACTGTTGCCTTCTGATAGACATGGGCCAGGCAGATCTTTCTTTTGTTCTTTTGATCCAATCCAGCCTTGTTAACGGAGGGACTGGAATGATGAGCTGATCTGTGACCAGTTCCCCTCTGCCTTCAGCAGAAAAATCTGTTGCTGTTTGCTCAGCAGCTGCTCTGGGGGGGGTGCAGTGCAACTGAAGCCCTTGTGACTGTGGCTATACCTCTTGCCTGAAAAATGGCATGTAGTGGAAAATATCCATATATATTGCATTCCTCCAGTATCTGAGGTTATACTATGACATCCTGCTTTCTGGGTCAGTACCTGAAAAATGGTTCTCCTTGCCACAGAATCCAAAAGATAGAAAGGAGGCAGAACTGAAGGAGATACAGGACAATTACTTCAGAAAGCTGTCTCTTTGCATGTAAAGGCAAAGACCAGGGCAGACAGTAACCTGAGAGAACTGGCTTTTGCTCTAGGCTACTGCTCAGAGCTACTGAGTATGTTAAATGTGAGAGCTAATGTGTTATATTTTTGTCCTCTCTGCATCCCGCTTCTCCCTCAGCCAAAGTCCTGTTTTGATGTTTGCTGCATTTCCAGGTCAGTAGCAGAAAGTACAAAGTGTTAAGAGTTCAGGTCTCAAAATGCTTTCTTCATCACAGACCATAAGGGAGAGTGCTGGATGGCTTCTCTTCAGTCTTTGGCCTTAGTGAGACCTTTGCTGTCTTATTTTTTTATTTGGGCATCCATATTTATCTATAATATACTGGGAAAATTTTTTGTTGGGTTTTTTTTTCCCCTCCCAAATATTTAAACACTACTTGAATTACTTGAGGTGTAAGTTATGCTTCTCTTACAGGAACAGTTAACGATTTTTTATTTTTCTTCACTCCTACGTAATCCAGCACCATGTAGAAGCAGAGCCAGCTTTGAACAAGAAAGTCTCTGTGTAGGGTAAACTGTCTGTGAGACATTGTTATGGGCATGTGTTGGTACTGTGCCTGCTACCCAAAACAGCAGGGGAGGTGCCATGTACCCTGACCTCAGACACATATCAACTAACTTGATCTGTCTAGCTTATCTGTCAGAGAGGGGATTTGATAACAGGTGTAAGCTTCTATTCTATGGGGAAGGCACTTCTGAGCTTAGTTCCTCAGGTGGGCAGACAGTGGCAAGCTGGAAGGCAGAAATCAGGCTGGAGGGTGCAGATTTTTAAAGTAGAAATGAGGTGTCTGTCTCTAACAGTCAAGGGTACTTCACCGTCGTAGCAAGTTGATGTAGTGCATTAGAACCTCAATCGCAAACAGCATTTAATCATGCCTTTTTAGAAAGGACTTAGTTTTGGCACATTGCAAACCAGGGATTTAATGCAGAAGTGAGTCAATAGAGACTCTAATGCTCTTCTGACAGTATCAGAATCATTGCTCTAGTTTTCTTTAGCTTATAGCTCATTCCTTTCCCAAATTACTTCTGTAAAAATGAAGTGGGTGAGACAGGAGGAAGGAGATATGCATGTGGCAAAGCTAGCAGTTTGCACATGTCGAGTTTTCCCACGCTTGGCTAAACTTTCTGTTGGTTGTGATCCTCAAAGAACTAGCAGCATCTGTAAATCCAGATCTCTCCAGTAGTCAGAAACTTTCCCTTTGCCACCCCTCTAGAGACACTGTACTCAAGCCTCTGGTGAAAATCTGATTAAAGCCAGGGCATGCCAAAGCTAGTATTGTGGGTTTTGTTCTTTGTTGCTCCTCACTGTATGCTCTACGTGTCTTTGCTTGCTTCCAGGAATTGGCCTGGCCTTGGCTGCGGCAGTGAAGGGTTACCGCTGTATCATTGTGATGCCAGAGAAAATGAGTATGGAGAAGGTCAGATCTGCTTTTATTTTCAAGAATTAAAAAGCAAGCGTGTTTGCACTTGCAGAGTTCCTGGTGCAGATGAGTGCTGTGGCTTTAGCAACGAAGGTGTAGGCTCTTGGCCTCCAAGTCATTGGCCATGCAGAGCTCTGCTGAGGGCCTATTGCTGGTGCCAAGAGAAATCCAGGCTGGTTAGCCATGGACAGAAATGTGTTTAAGACCTGTTCCCACAGCATTGGCACTTGGAAAACTGTCATAACTGTGTTACATACAAATGTCAAGGGAACTTGAGATTTACCTAGCACATTGAAGTAACTACATGCCTCTGGGTTAGCTGTCGCTCACTGTGCAAAGGAGGGCAAAGTAAGGCAATGCTGAAGCTTTGAATATTCTTCTGTTCTGCACTGGGCTGAGCAAGGACATGAGGGAGCCTGCTGGGCTCCTCAGGTTACACTGGGGGGTACTGGCAAGCATCTGAGTTGTGTCACCACAGCAACAAAGGGGAAGGAAAAGCCACCTGGGTAATGTCCACTTACCTTCACTGTGGAAAGCACAAAACATCCAGCCCTAGAGCAAGCCCTGTCCTGCACTCCACTGGGGTGGTGCTGCTGCACCTGCAGCCAAAAGAAGAGAAGAGATCCCCTGTGTTTCACAGTTGAGGCAACAAATCACTGTCAGCAAAGGCTCTTACCTCAGTTCAGACACTTCCAGTGTTCCAACTGAAAGGCAGCAGCACAGATGAGAACAGTGTCCCCTGAAAGCCTATACCCACTACTTGCTCTTACCTGCTCTGGAGGGAGAGGTGCCGCATGGCCATTGCTGTGTGCCACGCAGCACCAAAGGCCTCCCCTCTGAAGACAGGCCTTGCCTTAGCTCAGTGTCATAAACTTTCTTGCCCTCATAGCACTTGAGTGGTGCAGAGGGCCCTGGAGGATCTCCTTTGCTGCCTGTGTCCAAAGGAGGTAAATACACATAATTTGCACTTAAACATAAAATACTCGTCTATAGCACTGATGGAGTGCAGAGCATATGTGACTGGCATGAGAGGAGATGGCATTTTGCCTGAATGAGGCTTCTCAATATGCAGTAATAGTCCCTACAGGCCTGAAGGCCTAGAATAGAAACAGGAATTTGATGTCTAGCTCCCAAGTAAAGATTAGTTGAGACCAAATTACATTAAGGATTTGGACCCATGGCTCAGTGATGCTGTGAGGCTGGGGTGTAGGAGAACTGCTAAGGAGGCTCTTGCAGACCAGGTAAAAGGGAAGATGTTTTCTTTCCCCTGCATCTCAATGAAGTCTCTGTGCTGGGAGAGCAGCTTTGGGTTTTGTGACCACCTTTATTTACTACAGGTGGATGTCCTGAGAGCTCTGGGTGCTGAGATTGTGAGGACGCCAACTACTGCCAGATTTGATTCTCCTGAATCTCACGTGGGAGTAGCATGGAGACTGAAAAACGAAATCCCCAATGCACATATACTAGACCAGGTAAGTGTCAAAGCATCAGAGGTGCAGGCGTAGTGTGGGAGGAGGTATAGCAGCCTTGTTCCTTAGTGTTCTTGGTTGACTGTTCAACAGCATAGGTGTGTGGAGGAAAAGATGTCTCAGGTCTGGAGCTGTAGTTGAGCTGTAGGGATGTCTCAGGTCTGGAGCTGTAGTTGAGCCATCACCATGCTGTAGAGTAGCAAGCTTTTATAGTCACTAGAGGGCAGCAATGAGCCTATGTTTGCGGAAACTGCAAAACATGGGTGGCTTTCCACTGAATTGGCAGTCCTGTGGGGAAGAATAGGTACAAGGGTCATGTTCTTAAAAAAAATTGTCCCACAGACAGGACAGATCTTGGCATTGGAGGGTGCTGGCACCTTAGAACTACTCTTAAATTAGGTCACTTAGGAAGGTTGTACCTCCCCTTGGGCATTCTGGCTAGGTACAGATAACAAGGAAACAGTCTGGAAAGAGTATATGTAGCTGTTGTGGGGCTTGGAAAATGTTTGTCATGTTCTTGAAATGCCTCACAATGTGAATTTTATTGTCTTTCTAGTCTACTTAATGGCTCTTCTATCTTTCAATATAGTACCGTAATGCCAGCAACCCCCTGACGCACTATGACACCACAGCTGAAGAGATCCTGCAGCAGTGCGAAGGTATGTTTGCTCTACTACTAACCCCCTCTTCAATGAGTCCCTAGTGTTCTCTTATTGTTAGGTACCTGGAGAATGGGACCTGCGGTTGTTGAGAAATGCATGGATTTTGACACAGCAAATCCCATACATATGCTGTGTGTCATTAGAGAATTACTTTATTTCAGTAGTCATAGTAATGAATTTTTTTTTTTCCCCATTAAAGAGGGGTGCTTTGGTTATTAGATTCCTCTGCTTGTGACCAGGTGGAGAAAGCAGTGATGCTTAAGTTATCTTAAAAAAAAAAAAAAAAAAAGGCGATAACTAGAGGGGCATGAAAGAACAGCGTCACTTTCTCTGATCACAAATACAGAATCATAGAATCACAGAATCATTTAGGTTGGAAAAGACCTTTAAGGTCATCGAGTCCAACCGTTAACC